AGGATGTGGGGAAAAGGGTACACTTGTACATTGCTGGTGGGACTGCAGATTGGTGCAGCCAATTTGGAAAGCAGTATGGAGATTTCTTGGAAAGCTGGGAATGGAGCCACCATTTGACCCAGCTATTCCCCTTCTAGGTCTATTCCCTAAAGACCTAAAAAGAGCATGCTACAGGGACACTGCTACATCAATGTTCATAGCAGCACAATTCACAATAGCTAGACTGTGAAACCAACCTAGATGCCCTTCAATAGATGAATGGATAAAAAAATGTGGCATTTATACACAATGGAGTATTACTCAGCACTAAAAAATGACAAAATCATGGCATTTGCAAGGAAATGGATGGCATTAGAGCAGATTATGCTAAGTGAAGCTAGCCAATCCCTAAAAAACAAATGCCAAATGTCTTCTTTGATATAAGGAGAGCAACTAAGAACAGAGCAGGGAGGAAGAGCATGAGAAGAAGATTAACATTAAACAGGGACGAGAGGTGGGAGGGAAAGGGAGAGAGAAGGGAAATTGCATGGAAATGGAAGGAGACCCTCATTGTTATACAAAATTACATATAAGAGGAAGTGAGGGGAAAGGGTAAAACAAAACAAGGGAGAGAAATGAATTACAGTAGATGAGTAGAGAGAGAAGATGGGAGGGGAGGGGAGGGGAGGGGGGATAGTAGAGGATAGGAAAGGCAACAGAATACAGCAGACACTAGTATGGCAATATGTAAAATCGTGGATGTGTAACCAATGTGATTCTGCAATCTGTATATGGGGTAAAAATGAGAGTTCATAACCCACTTGAATCAAATGTATGAAATATGATATGTCAAGAGCTATGTAATGTTTTGAACAACTAATAATAAAAAATAAAATAAAATAAAATAAAATGGTCTCCTCTCAAATCTCCCCAAGAAAAACTAATGATTATGTTTTTTATTCTAGATCTTATTCTTTGAATATACAAATGTTTAGATACTTTATAAAAGAGATAATTCTTTATTATCCTAAAGTTACTTCTTGTCACACATGGACATATTTTCCATGTATGTACCTATCTACCACATTTTTTGAATGGCTGCATAGTATTCTATTATATGGAAGCATTATTTTGTTTAATGATTTCTCTGTTTAAGAACTTTTTTGTTCATGGGGCTGGGGAGTAGCTCAGCAGTAGAGTGCTTGCCTAGCACATGCAAGGCCCTGGGTTCGATCCTCAGCACCACATAAAAATAAGTAAGTAAAATAAAGGCATTATGTTCAACTACACCTAAAAAATAAATGTTAAAAAAGAACTTTTTTTATTCTTAATGTATTACTCAGCTTTAAAGAAGAATAAAATTATGACTTTTGCTGGTAAATGGATGGAGTTGCAGAATATCATGCTAAGTAAGCCAATCCCCCCAAACCAAAGTTGCATCTGATATGCAGATGCTAATTCAAAATAAGGGGAGCACTAGAGGAGAATAGAGTTACTTTAGATTATGTAGAGGGGAGTGAATGGAGGGGAAGGGATATGGGGATACAAAGGATAGTAGAATGAAATAGGCATTATTACCTTGTGTACATATATGACTACATGAGTGATGTGATTCTAAACATGTATAATCTGAAAAATGAGAAATTATACCCCATTTATATATGATATATCAAAGTACATAAATGCATTCTACCATCATGTATAACTAATTAAAATTTTTTAAAAAATGTAGCAATAACACTCTTATATAAATATGCCCTTCCATAATATTTATGTGACTATTTTTATTATGTAGATTCTTATTATTGCCTATTTTACAATGTGCTGGGTGCTACCAAATGCCCTTCAATTAATTCTTTGAATAAATCTCTCATACTATAAATAGCGATCTTTGTAAAATGAATTAAATCATATAATTTCTGACATCAAAAAGCAAAACCAAAGATGTTTGTTGGATTCAAATTATTGATACAATACATTTTTAAATTCTTCATTTTAAAGAGTATTTAAACTTTTATGATTAGGTCCCAATTTAACTTTCTTACCATTTTTCCTCCATGAACAAATATGTTCTCTGTTTGATAATGCAAAATCCAAATCTTATGTAAAACCCTCCCATCTATATAGATCTCTCTCCCCTTCTCTATGTAAGACAGAATTACTTACTTCCTTCTCTGAATTCCCATGTACTTAATTTATAATACCCCTGACAGCACTTGATATATTTTACTGTCCTCCAGTGTGTCTGTCTCCCCCATTACTCTGCAAACTTCCTAAGGGCAAGAACTGACTCTTTATTCATATCTGTATCTCCAGCACTCTGCATAATTCCTGAAAGAGTGTTGCTCAACAAATCTTCATGAAATGGTGGAATATATTCTTCAGTTGTAGTGATAGTACAAGAAGAACTTTGGGAGGTAGAGTAGGTAGTGTAATTTTTTGAAGCATAGCCCCATACTGACTGAATACAGGAATGTAGAAGCTGGTCAGGAATGGAGAAATTGGACTAAACTGGCAGGAGTCCTCATGTGATTTTTCCCTACACTACAGAGACCAGCTGCCTATTTATTTGGGTTACTTGAGAACATTTAAAGTAATGAAAATTGAATGATTGAGGATCCACTTGGTAGATTGAGAGTTTGACTGTTCTGTGCTCTTTCTAGACTCTAATGCTTATGCTAAAAGATCCAGTCATTTCCCACAGTTATGAATAACTCCTTGAAAAATCAAAATTCTTCATTTTTAGGGCATGACTCAAGTTGGAAGAGGAATGGTAAATAGGTTAGATACTTTTGTTTTGTCTCTTTAGCCTAGTTCAAGAGGAAAGTAGCCTACTGAAAGGCTCTAGAGCTGTGGGCCTATTCTGGAATAAATCATCTGTGTGAAATGGGTTGTTCTTTCATTTCAGGCAACGCTGGAAGTTCTCCTTGTTCGGTTGCTTTGAAGAAAGAGTACAAGAGAAAGTAGAATACATCATGTCAGAGATATTAGACCTCTCTTTTCTGTCTGAGGTGGAAAGGGATTTGATCCTTAATGTTCTACAGCGAGATGAGGAGCTTCGGAAAGCAGATGAGAAAAGGATTAGGTAAGAGTCCCAGAAATAGTATAAGGTCCCCATTCCCTTGACCAGTGATATCTAGGCTTTTCTTTGTGCTTCTCATTTGACTTTCAGAGGAAATTGTGTACATGACATTTACAATTCTTTGTTGGGTCAAGTTGAGCTCTGAGTTTGTTGCTTTCACAGAATCAAATAGTGTGTCTTTGCCCCTCAACTCTTCTCCATCTGACCTACACAGATCCTGAATCCACTTGTGCTTGTCTTTTGGGGCTTGGCAGGCGACTGAAGAATGAACTACTGGAAATCAAAAGGAAAGGGGCCAAGAGGGGTAGCCAACACTACAGTGATCGGACCTGTGCCCGGTGCCAAGAGAGTCTGGGCCGTTTGACTCCCAAGACCAACACTTGTTGGGGTTGTAATCACCTGGTGTGTCGGGACTGCCGCATCCAGGAAAGCAATGGTACCTGGAGGTGCAAGGTGTGCGCCAAAGAAATGTGAGTGTTAACCTATGGCTGAGTAAGAGAAGAGTCCTGACTATGGTATTCAATTATTTTCCTCAGTCTTTGTTAGTTGAATGACAGGAGCCATTCTGCATTTATCCCCCCTGGTGCTGGGGATTGAACTCAGGGCCTTGCACATGCTAGGCAATTGCTCTACCACTGAGCTACATCTTCAGCCTTTTTTAGATTTTATTTTGAGATAAGGTATCACTAACTTGCCCAGACTGGCCTTGAACTTGTAATCCTTCCTCAGCCTGCCATGTAACCTGGATTACAGGCATGCATAACCATACCTGGCACATTGGTCATTTTCTTTCATTCCTTCCCAGAGAGCTGAAGAAAGCAACTGGAGACTGGTTTTATGACCAGAAAGTGAACCGCTTTGCTTACCGCACAGGCAGTGAGATAATCAGGATGTCACTGCGGCGTAAACCTGCAGGTACTGGGCTTTTCTAGGGATGGTTCCCTGTAGGACTTACCCTTAGCCATAGATCCTAGTGTGTTCTGAATGGTGGAGTCTTAACTCCATGGGCTTAGCTGGTTTGTGGGAATATAAAAGATTGTACCTCCATCCCTTCTGCAATTGTTATGATTTTGTAGGAGATGCTGTGAGCATTGTTTCCCTTTCCTACACTCATCAACACCACCCCGATATGCTTTTGTTTGTCTTTAAGCAAATAAAAGAGAGACAGTGGGACATTCCCTCCTTCATCAGACACAGATGGGTGATATCTGGCCAGGAAGAAAGATTATTCAGGAGCAACAGCAGGAACCCAGGTGAGAACCAAGTATTTTAACGAAATGCTACAACATTCCTTTAATTCTTTTATTACTTTTTAAAAATTCTTCTATCTCATAGATGTTCATTACAAGAATATTTGGAATACACAGAAAAGGGTAAAAGGGAAAAATCAATCCTAATTCTAAAACTCATGTAAACAGTAACATGTAAATAGTAACATTTGGGCATATTTACTTCATAAGAACAAGCTGAAGGCAAATAAAAATAACACATAATCATTATTTTAAAAAATTAAACAGTAGTCCCACCAGCAGTGTATGAGTGTACCTTTCCCCCCACATCCTCACTAACACTTATTGTTGTTTGTCTTCATAATAGCTGCCATTCTGACTGGCGTGAGATGATATCTTAGAGTAGTTTTGATTTGCATTTCTCTAATTGCTAGAGATGATGAACATTTTTTCATATATTTATTCATTAAGGGGGTGGGAGGGGAAGGGAGGGGGCAGGGGGTTAGCAAGGATGGTGGAATGTGATGGACATCATTATCCAAAGTACATGTATGAAGACATGAATTGGCATCAATTTACTTTATATACAAACAGAGATATGAAAAAATGTGCTGTATATGTGCAATAAGAATTGTAATGCATTCCGCTGTCATTTATTTTTTTAAAAATCAATTAAAAAATTAAAAAATTAAACAGTACAGGAAATGAGAAAGAAGAAAGCCACAAATCACTGAGATCCTTGCTACCCCAGTTTTCACATTATATATTATGTGAAAATCATTTAATATATCTTTTATCTATAGAGAGATGACTAGATGGATAGACTGAAGAAACTTCATAATATTGGATCATCATATAATAAATTAAAGTCATTCCTTTTTTTTTCAGTGCAAGGGAAAAAACCCAGGGTTTCACATATGCCAGGCAAGTGCTCTACCACTGAGCTACATCCACAGCTCCAAAATCATTTCATTTAATTTTGTTTGAATTTAACAGAATAACACACTAAAATAAAATGGAAGAATTGCTAATCTTTCGTTAGCAGTCAGTTAATCATTTTTGAAAGTTCCTGTTTCAATATTAAACATTATCATTTGATTCTCTGCTCTGAAAGAGGAAGAGATTAGATTTCTTATGTTTCCTTTCAATTCTTTTGCCCTATTCCTATTTGCCACTCAAGTCATTTAGATTTTATCGAGGTTTATAACATTTAAATTGTTACACGATCATAAATCATTATCTTTTTAAAGTAGTTTGTTTAGTTTTAATTTTAAAAGGATTATATGCTGACAATTGTACCATGGTGTATCTATTTCTGCATTCTTTATTTCTTGATTGTTTGGATTTCATCTTTGAGAAGTTCCTTCAACAAGGACTTGTAGTATTTATTGCATTCTTTCGTGTTAAGAGCATTTGCTAAATGTTTTTATATTTGAACGATATCTTAGCTGAGTATTATATTCTTGGGTCACATTTTCTTTCCCTCATAATATTTTAGACATTGCTAAGTTACCTTCTGCTATTGAATATAACTGTGAAGAAGTCTAATACTAACACGATTTGTTTTCCTTCCTTGTAGGCAACTTTGTATGTATGTGTTCACATGTGCACAAGTATGCATGTGGGTATATGTGTGTGCATGTGATTGGATTTACTGTATCATTTTTCCTGATTTGTGGTATATCCTTGATGAGTTCTTTCTTCATTGTGGGAATTTTTATAAGTTAAGTTCACCACCTCAGGGGTATTGGATTTCCTTATCCTCTATTTCTATACCACTGCCTTTTAGTTTTTTTTACTGTATGATGTTAACCATGATTAACTAAACCTGATCCTTCATGCTATCACTTTTTTCACCATTTTCTTTCTTTCTCCTGTCCTTATCCTTGTCTCATTTCCTTATCCTTTTTTCTTGTCTTTTGCTGTTTTTAATTTTACTGATTTGAATGAATTGTTTTTTTAGGTTTCAATATTTTTACTTTGCTTTCAGTCTTCTTTTTTCTCTTATTTTCTTTTTTTATCATTTTATATTTGAGCTCTTGGTTTTTATCCAATCTGTATTCTTTTTTTCTTGGAAATTGTTTTTTTAATTGGGCTCTCCAAATTTTTTTCTTTTATTTTTTTACCATTTATTATTATTTTTTACATGCCAGTAGAATATATTTTGTAATATTATACATACATGGAATAAGTATAACTTGTTCCGATTAGGATCTCACTATGTGGTTGTACATGATGTGGAGTTACATTTGTCATGTATTTAAATATGAGGATAAGAAAGATATGTCCAATTGATTCTATTATCTGTTCTTTTACCATCCCCCCTCCCTTCCCTTTATTCCCCTTTGTCTAGTCCAATGAACATCTAATCTTTACCTCCCTTGTTGTGGGTTAGTATATCCACGTATCAGAGAGAACATTCTGCCTTTGGATTTTTGGGATGGACTTGTTTCACTTAGCATGATATTCTCCAGTTCCATCCACTTACTGGCAAATGCCATAATTTCATTCTTCTTTATGGCTGAGTAATATTCCATTGGGTATATATACCACATTTTCTTCATCCATTCATCTGGTTTTAAGCATATAATCCAAGGAGTGGGATAATGGGGTCAAATGGTGGTTCCATTCTCAATTTTCTTTTTTTTACATTCCAAGTTTTCTAAGGAATTTCCATGCTGCTTTCCAGAGTGGTTGCACCAATTTGCAGTCCCACCAGCAATGTATAATTGAACCTCTTTCCCCACATGCTCACCAACATTTATTTTTGCTTGTATTCTTGATAATTGCCATTCTGACTGAGATGGAATTTCAGTGTAGTTTTGATCAAATTTGTATTAAGTTGCCTGTACTGTAAAGTACTCACAACAACAACAACAACAAAAACCTATTTGTTTTTCTAGGTTTATATTCTGCTCCACACTAGGTTCTTTGTATATCTTGTAAGTTTTTTGTTTCTCCCTACTCTATGGCTATTCATGTCTGCAGACCACTTTATTTCATTTTACTAGTGTCTAATAGGGAAAGTTTTGTCTATATCTTTTATTTGCTCTGACACAGGTTATGTGAATTGTTCTGGTCAAACTTCTGACCTCAGTATGAAACAATTTATTTGGTCAACCACACTTAGCTATACTGTAGGTAGATAAGAACTGAACACTGCCTTCTGTATATAGTCAATTTCTTGGACAGAGATACATTCTGACAAATGCATCATTAGACGATTTTGTGGTCATATGAGCATCAGAGAGTGCACATGTGCAAAATAAGATGACTATGATGTCACTGTGTGATATGACTTACTTTATTAGACCATCAGTCCATCATTGACTAAAATAGCATTATATAGCTTATGATCATACTTTTAAAATTTTATTTTTAAATTTAAAAATTTCATCTGATACATAAAAGTATACATTTATGGGGTACCATGTTATGTTTTGATAAATGCACACATTGTGTAATGTTCAAACCAGGTAAACCTGTATCTCCTTTGTCATCACCTCTTTATGATGAAATCATTAAAAAAATATTCTATTTTTTTAAAAAAAATACACAGTACATTATCATCGTATATAGTCACCTGAGTGTATAATAGCATACCAGTGTTCCTTTTTTCCCATCTAACTATACATTAGTATTCATTAATCAATCTTTCTCCAACTGTCCTTTCCTTCTATTCTTCCTGGCCTCTGGTAACTATCATTATACTGTCAACTTGTATGAGGTCAATTTTTTAAATTGTACATGTGAATAGGATCATGTAGCCATAGTTCTGTGCTTGGATTATTTCACTTAACACAATGATCTCCAGTTCTATTCATAAATGGCAGAGTTTCATTGTTTTTTAAATATTTATTACTTAGTTTTAGGTGGATACAGTATCTTTATTTTTTATATTTTTTATATGGTGCTGAGGATCAAACCCAGTGCCTCACGCATGCTAGGTGAGCACTCTACCACTGAGCCACAATCCCAGCCCCTCATTGTTTTTATGGCTGAATAGTATTCCATTGTGTATATATACCACATTTTTTTTATTCATTCATAGGTTGATGGTACTCAGGTTGTTTTCCATTTCTTGGTTGTTGTGAAGAGTGTTGCATGCAGATGTCTCTTTGACATACTGATTTCATTTTCTTTGCATATATACCCAGTGGTGGGATTACTAGATCAAAAGGTAGTTTTTTTAATTTTTTGAGGAACCACCATACTGTTTTCCCTAATTGCTACACTAATTTACATTCACACTAACAGCATAAAAGGCTTCCCTTTCTCTACATTCTTGCAAGCACTTGCTGTCTTCTATCTTTTTGGTAATAGCTAGTCTTACTGGGGTAAGATGATAATCTTATTATGGTCTTAATTTGCATTTCCCTGATGATTGGTAATGTTGAACATTTTTCCACACACCTATTAGCCATTTGGATGTCTTCTTTTCCTAAATGTCTATTTGGATGCATTCCTCATTTTAATTGGATTATTATTTTATTGAGTTTTTATTGAGTTCTTTGAGTTCCTTATATATTCTGTATATTAATCACTTGATATATGTGTAGTTTGCAAATATTTTCACTTACTCTGTAGGTTGTCTCTTCACTATGTTTATTATTTCCTTTGCTATACAGAGCTTTTTAGTTTGACCTAATCCTATTTGTTTATTTTTGCTTTCATTTCCTTTGCCCTGCCCTAAAAATATTTGCCCATTCCAATGTCCCATAACATTTCTCTTATGTTTTTTCCTATGAGTTTCATGATTTCAGGTCTTAAATTAAAGTCCTTAATCCATTTTGACATGAATTTTATAATTGGTGAGAGATATAGGTCAAGTTTCATTCTTCTTCATATGGATATCCAATTTCCTGGCACCATTTATTGAAATGATTATTGTATTTCTTTTATTGTAACATTTTTTTGTACTGGGGATTGAGAACCCAGGAGTACTTTAATACTGAGCTACATCCCTGGTCATTTTTTTTTTTTTTTTTTTGAAATAGGGTCTGGCTAAGTTGCTGAGACTGGAC